GCTATCACTAGAAGAATGTTCCTCAGATATGCAACCATACAAAAAAACCCAACCAACCAAACCCAACCATACAAAAAAAACCAACCAACTCAAAAGTAAATTTGTATAAATGCGAGGCTGGGTATTTTTCATTCTTCACTAATGAGACCAACTTTTTGGCCTCCGGGGTTTAGTTAAAAAAAAATATTCAAAAATCCTCACACAGGAAAATTAGTCTGTTTGTTATGACATTTACATGAAACAGAGAAGACTAACATAGATGGCATCTGAATGAACCTGGGCCTTCCACACTCAGTGACCAGTGAAGCAAAGCAAAGGGCTACTGACCACTCTGGTCAGACCTGTACAGCCAGAAGTTCCTTCAAACACCTGAGAAATCTTTCCTGAAAAAAAACGTAATAAATTCTGTAAAGATCTACAGGGTCATTAAAAAATGCTGCTACAAAATTACTTTACAAAGTAGCTGCATGTCAGTTTGGAGGAGCTGGGGAAGGAGACAGAGGCAGCAGTGCTAGTTGATCCAGACCACATCAAGCATATCACATGCTGCTTCAGAGCCTGGTATGCACCAATATGTTCCACTTGGAGAACATTTCTGAAGCCACCTCAAAACACTATAAAGCACAGGTCCAGCATCTTAAAGACAAGGATAGTAATTATACTGAGCTCTTCTTATCTATCACATGCCTTTCTGTGACCAGGCCTAAGGTCAGGATCCCATTGTGAGGCAAACCATAAGGACTCATGACCACACAAACTGCAGCTGGGAAGGGGTACATCCATTTCCAGGGGCAGATGGAGCAGACCACAAAAACCTACCAGCTTTTTGCTTGCACTAAGTGCTGAGACACGTTTTGCAGACAATCCAGTCTGAGTAAACTCACACAAAAGATTCTACTTACAGAATTTCATGTTAAAATTTAATATTTTAAAGAGATTAGGAAGGTGCCAAGCAGAGCACTGAGCCAAGGTGCAGAACAGCACTATGCCCACAGAGAGGAGAAAACAGAAGTGAACCAACAAGTGGAAGATTTTAAGCATGTGCAGTGGAAGAAGTGAACAGTAATATCCACATCCTCAAATCAAATCAGCAATTTTTTTTCTAATTCCAGTTTGCAACACTTTGAAGCGTGTGTCTACCTACAGCATCAGTTTTCTATCCTGCACTTCAGAAAAGACAAGAGAGGCACATAAAGTAAGGAAATTATTTTGCTGAACAGACTATTGCTGAAGGAGACTAAGAACTTTTGTATAACAGCAGCAACCCTCACATTACTGAGTCACTTCCTCCAGCGTGGTTTGGTTTCTGAATTTTGGAAAAGTACTTCTAAAAATTCTGGGTGTTCAAGAAACATCCTCTGCATACAGAAGAGGAACAAGACGGAAGTAAGTTAATATGGAACTCACTTCCCCTGGTGAGACTGAACAGTGTTACTTCCTTCAAACGCTGCTGTACTGAAATCCTTTTTTGTTTTTTACAGACATGAAAAGAGGTCCACAGTGAGATTTTCACATCTATAAATAGGATTAGTTTTAATAACACTAACAAAAAATGTATTTTGGAATGAGAGACTAATTTTAAAGTATTACTTCCTACAGAAAGGAAAAGAGGGTTTGCCTATCAGTAGTGTGATTATCCTTTCCATAGGAAGTTCTAGATGTTAGACTGGCTGTAGCTGGAAGTAACTAGATGGAACAATCTACTAAACACCTTTGGCAGAACAGAGCAAACAAATCTATCAATGGGAAAAATCCTTAAATAGAGATGATTTTCAAAGTGAAAATTATTGAAAGTGCCATGGTGAGTAGGTAAGAGGGCCAGTTGGCAAGTTCTTGCCAAATTTATACACATTCAGGACTGCCATATCATCAGCATTCTCCTTTCCAGTCAACAGGATCATCCAAGGCTCAGGAGTGTAGAGCACTGACAGGAAAGCTGCAGATGTGAAATGCTATTAGAATGTTATGTTTAGTACATCACCAGAGCCTGAACTAACCTTTGAAGTTCAGGTCCATTATGGCTGAGCAAGACCACCCCTAAACCCATATTTATTTTTATTATCTTCATGGAAGAAGCACAAAAAAACAAACAAGCTTTGTGGATAAAACGCAATGTTACAACTCTCCTTTAGGAGGAAGGCAACCCATTGATTTTACTTTCAATGCGATGCTTCCTTGCCAAGAGACTATGTTTACTGAATGAGAAAGTGAGACACCAAGTACTTATGATGCAAAGGACAAAGGGAACTTGCCTGATCTGCTCATCACCTGTAGGAAACTCCACAGACCAGTGCTGACTGGATCCGTGCAGCCTTTAACACGGCACACCATTTCCAACCCAGCTGAAAGCAGCTTTTTTAGGCAGGGGCAGTGTTTACTGTCAACAGGGACAGGCTGTCCTGCCCTGGGAGGAGGTGTCTGCAGTCAGACTTACTGCAGGGTTGTAAGTTTCCATTTCAAGCCAAGCCCAGGCTGCCCCACTCTGCTTAGATGTGAAAAAGGCATTAAAGAACAACCAAACATTCCACCCAAAGGCTAAGGTACAGCCAAGTGGATGTAGCACAGCTACAAGCAAAAAAGAGATGGAAAGTCCTTAGAGAATCATAGAACGGAGGTTGGAAGAGACCTGTGAGATCACTCAGCCCAACCATGAACCCAGGACTACTCCTGTAAGCCCTAAACCACTAAACCATTAAAATGTATCACCCAGATGCCTCTTGAGCACCTTCAGGGATGGTGACTCCTCCACCTCCCTGGGCAACCTATTCCAATGCCTGACCACCCTAACAACGAAATTATTTTCTTCTAATATCTTCTGAATCTCCCCTGTCTCAGCTTAAGGCCATTTCCTCCAGTCCCCTCACTGCAGAAGAGACCGGCCCCGGCCTCCAAACATCTACCGCAGCATCTAAAAAGCCAGCACTTGTCTAGGGCCGTGTGTTTATGTGCCTTGTGAAGTGCAGCTAAACCCCGCAGACAGCGAACAGCCTGCTCATGAACCCCTTCCTTATAACCCGGCACAAAACGTCACCAAAACGCTTCACGGAATAAACCAGTTTGCTCAGAGACTTCTCCTCCGCTTCCTCCTTTCCCAGGGGAGCGCCCGGCTCCCCCTCGCAGAGCAGGAGACACGATTTCACACCCCTCAAAGCCCGAATTAGCCGCCGCCGCCGCGGGGGCCGGGGCCGCTCCTGCCCGCGCTCCCCACGGCTGAGGCCCCGCGGGCCTACCTGCTTCTGCACGTCGGCATCGCTGAGCGCCATGGCGGTGGTGTCTGCGGCGGTGACAGTGACGGTGACAGTGGCGGTGACAGTGACGGTGACAGTGGCGGTGACAGCGGCGGTGTCCGAGGACGCGCCCGGTGCCGTCGGTGCCCGGAGCGGAATCACATCCGGGTCGGGTCAGGCGGCCGCGAGCCCCGCCCACCCCCCCTCCCGCGGGCCAATAGCGACCCGCGCGCCGCGTAACGTCACGCCGCCGTGCATGGCGGGGCGGGGCCCGCCGGGGCCGCTCCCGGGTGGGCTCTGGGATGCTTTGGGATAGTTTGGAACGGCTCGGAGTGGCTCCGCGCCCTCCTCAGACAGCCTGTGCCAGGGCTCTGCCGCCCGCAACGTAGAGGTTCTTCCTCGTGTTGAGGTGGAAACTTCCCGTGTTTAAGTTTGTGGACATTGCTCCTCCAGCCCTGTCGCTAGGCACCACTGAAAAGGGCCTGGCACCATCCTCTTGGCACCCACCTTGAGGATAGTTACGTGCATTGATTAGGTCCCCTGTCAGCCTTCTCCAGACTAAACATGCCCAACTCCCGCAGTCTTTCCTCATAAGAGAGATGCTTCAGACCCCTCATCATCTCTGTGGCCTCCGCTGGACCCTTTCCAGCAGCTCCTTGTCTCTCGCTGAACTGAGAAGCCCAGACCTGGACACAGAGCATTCTGCGATTTCATGAAGAAAAAGCAAAAGGATGCAGGAAATAAGTGGACAAGGGGAGGGGAAGGACAGCCTTGCAGCAGCAGGGAGGCTGGAGGTCACTGGCTGTCAGGTGGAGCGGGCATAGGGGAAATCTTGTGGTGGCCCCTTGGGATGGTTGTGCTGCTGTGATTAACGAGCATTTCATTGTCGTATACACGGTGGGGATCCAAGGCATTTTTTATTTATTTATTCGTTATTTATTTATTATTACCTTCTGTGATGTGGTAATTCTTCAGAAGTTCTGTTGCTGCTGCCATTCTTTTCTTTCCGGCAAAATTTAAGGCAATCTTCATAACCTGTAATAGTGTTCGTTTATTCTAGTTGGCAGGAAGCTTCTGTTTCTGTTCTGCAGGTACATTTACTGGAAAAAAATAGAACCCTTCCTTGTGAATCAAGTGTAAAATGTGGCATTTGTCACATCCGTGCTTCTTCCCGATTTATTCCTATTTCCTTAATTTTTACTGTGCATTTGTCACACCCGTGCTTCTTCCCGATTTATTCCTATTTCCCTAATTTTCACCGTACTTTTCTGTGTGAAAAAAAAAAGCTTATTATAAAACTTTGGTAACTTTGATTTTTTTCATATGGCAATTATGGAGTGCAAGAAAATCAACTTGTACTTTGGGGGCTTGAGAATACTTTGTATTACTTCGGGCACCATCTAAATGATATTACATTATAATACATGTGAACTACGTTCAGACTCGGTTTGTTTTCCTTGTGGCTCCCCCATCCTTGCGGGGGGGCGGGGGTGTTTGAGGGGGATTAACCCGCCCACGTGACCTGGGGGTCGGGGCCGCGGAACCTGAAGTGCCAGGAGGTCCTTTTGCTCCGAACTCGCGGTAAAAGGCGGAGGGGTTGGCAGGAATCCCCCACATCCACATTTTCCCCCGTATCCATAGGAGTTCAAACACCGCCCCCTCCCCCCCGGCAGTCACGTGACGGGGGCGGGGCCCTGCCGCGCGGCGCGAGCCGTGACGCGCGGCACGCGCCGCGACGAGCCCCGCGCGCGCTCCTCCCCCCCGAGCCCCCCCCCGCCCCCTCCATCATGGCGGCGGCGGCGGCAAATTAGGGCAGAGCCCGCGCTCACCGGCCGAGCGCGCGCGCGCGCGCCCCCCCCCTTCCCCACCTCACCCCACACACACACACCCACCACACACACACACACACACACCGCCCCCGGCGGGAGCGACCCGCGAGCGGCGGCCGCTCCTCCGCCGCCTCCTGTTCCTCCCCGCGGCGCCCGCAGGTGAGGAACGGTAGGGTGAGAGCGGGGAGCGAGCGAGCGGGCGGGCGGGCTTGCTGCCTATTTATTTACATTTATTTGTTTATTTATTTACCTTTACTTATTTATTTATTTGGGAGTGGGGAGAGCGGGCACCGGCGGCCTCGCGCGCGCGCCCCCGTTCCGTGAGGGGCTGAGGGGAGCGGGGGGGGGGGGGGGGGGGGGGCCGGGGGGGCGCCCGGGCCCCCCCCCCCCCCCCCAGCCGCGGGGGGCGCGCGCCGGCGGCGGAGGCGCCCCCTGGCGGCCGGTGTCGCTCCCGCCCCCGCCGGGGGCCCCCGCTCCGACCGAGACACCCCCGGGGCACCCCCGGACACGGCGGGAGCCCCCGCGGAGCCCCCGCGTCCCCGCCGGCAGCTGTGGGGTGGAGGAGCAGAGCCGGCGGCTCCCCCGCCGCAGGGGCCGCGGGCTGCGCGTCCCGCACGGCTCCGCCGGTGACTCATCGCGGCTCCGAGCCCGCCCGGGTATAAATATCTCATTCATCGCCGTAGTAACTGAGGGGCTCACGCTGCTCTGGCGCTGCTGAAAACTTGGAGCCGAGTTTTTGTCGGGCTCTCAAATCCAAGTAGGCAGAAAGTGAATGGAAGGTTGTTAGTGAAAGCTGGGTTTGCCGCGGTTTAATGTTGTGGTGAGGTAGTTTGAAGCTGGAGAGGATCGAGGACCTTTGCAGTGGGTAACTCACACAGTTTTTGTTTCTCTTCCTAGAAGAGAAGTCACACCATTTACCTAGAATACTCTAATTATATTTCCCAGTAAGGTTGACTACAACCACTGCCCAGATAAACGACCATAGTATTTTCCAGTATTTCTATCCATTAAGTGCCACCAGAGGATCAGCAGTGGATGCCATATCGATTTATTTCCAGTAGGGACTGACATGTTTGAACTCAGTAGGTCTCAGTTTATTGAAAACAATTTCTTAGTCATGCTTTCATATACTGTTGGAAAAGTACTGTGAAGAATTTTTATCTCCCAAGTCGATCACGATCAAGTGTCTTGGGTAGTCCTGCCTGTTATGTGAAGTGTGTTCAGAGGCAAACTGCTGCAAGGTTGAACTAGTCCACACATGCAGGTCTCATCTGAAATCTGTACACAAGCCTTCTGGGAAGGTTGCAGAGCGCTTGAATATTTTCCATCTTGTTGATATGGGGTGTGGTTTTTCAACTCCTTGAATTTTGGTACGTTTGGATAAAGAGCACGGTGTAAACCTAAGGCTGTAGATACAGCTGAACTCACAGGGGTTGCCTCTTGCAGAGGCTGGTATCAGGAGGTTGACCCAAACCGTGAGCATACCGGTGTCAAGCTGCCCTGAAAATGATTTGAACTCCGTTTTGTTGCCTCTCTACATTGCCTGTGCATGCTTGAGTGAATCCTTCTGGCTGAGGCCATTCATGCTCTGAAATAATTCTGCAGCACAGGAGGTGTTCTGCTAGAGCTGTCTGGGGTGATTAGGTTTGTAGCCGGTAAGTGAGGCCTGGTGACCCGGGCTGTAGGTGGGAAATGCATCCAGCTCCAGCCTGACTCTGTGTCCCAGTGGAAGCGAAGGGCAGTGGTGCTGCTGTTTGTAACAAGAAGGCAGTCTGTGACAGCACTGCTGCTGTTTCTGAAATACACAGTGACACTGATCACCTACTATTTTGTTTGTAAACACGCAGCAAAATACTTCGTGAGGCTGCAGAAGGGCAAGTCTCAGACCTGCAGCAGCCGAATAGATGCACGATAGATCCATGGCAGCTGCTGAACTGTTTCGATGGGCAGCGTTGTGGTGCATTTTGGGGGTTGAACGATGCACAGTGAAAGCTCGATGCACGGTGGCATTTTGCAGATAGGGACTGAAACACAGCAGAGCCTCATCGCTGGGGGATTATATTCGCTGTATTCATTGGTAGCCTTGCTTTGCCCGTTATCCAATGTATAACTCTTCTGTGGATTAGGACGTGACAGACTGCATGAAGAAATGTCAGTCTGGCTGGAACTCCTGTTCTCAGGTCGGTTGAGCAGCTCAGCCCACATGGAACAAGTGACAGCAGGGCTGGAGGAGTAACAAGCTAAGTAAGCTTCAACAGGTATAGCCTTCTGTTCCTCCAAGGCTGCGGGAACTGAGAAAGGTGAATTTTTTTGTAGGGAGCAATTGGTAATAATTTTGATCTCTGTAGCTTTTTAAGGGCAATATTCCTGCAGTGAACCTGTTAAACCAGAAGTAACCCTCTAGCTCTTGCTCTGAGACTTATGGAGTCTGTATAATACCTTATTTCCTCTGCTCTGTTGCATCTCCTGTACAAGCTTATTCTCTTAAAGTGTTTCTGGACTCTCTTCCATTTTGCTCCTTTAGTGGAAAGCTCTCCTTCCTCTGATCTGGTCTCTCAAGCTGCATGCCCTTTTTCAATCCCACTCATTCCTGTAAAATGGCCTTTTCTGAGATATTTACAGTATCTGAGTCAATATTTCTGTATTTCTTTTTGTAAACAAAACCAGTAATTCACAATTTGAAATGAGTAATTTGGTTGCTGTGCTGTGGGCTTGTCTCAAAGGAAAACCAGGGCTTCTGAAGTGTATTTCCACTCATGACATTCTTTTGTGTGAAGCTGAAGATTTCTCCCATTCAAGTTCTTAAGTCTCCCTTCTCATCTCAGTATAAAACTACCTCTCAGAATATATTGACCAAAGGGATTATTTTTTTCATCCAAAGCTGGGTTTTGTCATTCTTTTCCCAGGGAAACCTTAGCCACTATTTAAATACGCTGTGGTCTGATTCTCTCCCTCTCTGTTTTTTATTCCCTCCTCCCTCCAGAGGTGCTGAGCTAAGCAAGCTGAACTTTTTGTGAAGTAGGCCTCCCTGTTGCACATGGATCAATGTGCTGCTCTGGAATCTCTTGCTTATTGTCATCAACTTTTTTTCTGTCATTTTCTGCGCTGTGGAATTATATCTTGAAAAATAATCTTTGTCGTACGTCCAAATTTGTTCTTTGATCCACAGCCTAGTTTCTGGATGTCTCTGGACCATCTGTCAGGCTGATTCTTTCAGGAGAGATCAGTTCAGGTTGTCTGGAAGGGCTCCCATGCACTGTGTAGGCATTGCGGGAAGCACGTTGATTCCAGGGCTGTGGATCTCTGCGGAACAAACCAGAACTGAAATGCGCTGGGGAGCTTTTGCTTTTTGGTGAATGGCATCTTTCCCACCTGGTGATGTGAACGTGTGATGTGGTGGTTGTGCATGGGGATCTGGTCTGAAGAGCAGATCTGTTGTTAAAGGATCCTAAAGTCCTCAGAGCAGCTATCTTTCTCCCAAATCCCCTTGTTTTATGAAAGTCTCCATTTATGGAAGCAGCTGAAGGATAACTGTTCATTTTGAAAAAGCTGTGCTTTATCTCTGCTGTGATTTCTTACTTTTCTGAAGTAGGATACGGTGCCCATAGAGCATTCTGGGATGGAAGAGGCAACATAAATGTAGGATTACCGCTCCAAGGGAAAAGGGATGAGGGTTGACTTGAAGTTTCGACATTGTTTCCTTCCTAAATAAATCATTACTTTGGTTCAAGCTGCAGGAAAGACACAACTGAAGCTTTCTGGTAAAGGCTTTCAGGCATTTTCGAAGACGTGGTGCAATAGTAGAGTCTTCATGAAAGAGTCCTTTTCTGTTTTTAGTACTGAATGAGTTTCAGAAACTAGAGTTTCTAAAGATTAAAGAAAGAACACTTAGCCAATTTTACACCAACTCTTTTCCTTTTGCAGCTTTTAGTTTGATGGGTAAATTTTTCTTTGCCAAGCTACCTACTCACACAGCAACCATGCCACAGCACAGTTCTAGTTCTGTTTATCCTCAGTAACCACTGTACAATTGCTGGTAATCCGAATTCCTCTTCAGGCAGGAGGGATTAGAAGTTAGCCCAGACATCTTGAATGACTAGACAGGCCAGTGCTTTTCTTTTGCTTGCTCAGTTTACTATTATTATTTTTAATCTCAAGCCATCATTTGCAGATTGTGCTTTGGGTTTGAAACCTGGCCTTCTCTCTCAGTCTCAAGGCATTTCCAGTGTAATCGAGAACTCTCTTGAGATGGTCCAACTTCCATTGCCTGTATATAGCATTTTGCTCATTCTGACTGCTTTAAACTTTAAACTTTTCTAAATGCAACTGCAGGCTTGCACTGTTTAAATTGTCTGGCTCTTTCAGTGTCTCTTTAGTAGTATGAAATTTTTTGTGTGTCTTTCATTTGGACATTCATTCTGATGGCCAAGAATAGGCTACTACTTGTTTGGGAGTGACTCTTTGAAGTCATGGAGAACTTAACTTTCAGAGTTTATCATAAAACCCTAAATATTACTGTTTGATTCATTAAGTTGGTAGCATGTTGGAAATAGTTATCCAGATTTCACCCAAAAAAAAGAGCTAAAACATGTTGATTAATCTGAAACATCCTTTCAACCTGTTGCTTGGCTCTTTTCTCCACTTCATCTTGTTTTCTGAGGTTTTATTTTTTTACCTTGTCCTTCATGACTGTTTTCAATTTCTCTCCACTGTCGTGTTTCCTGCTTCCTTATTTGAATGTTTGAAAAAAGCAACAAAAAAGAAGAGTAAAACATGGAGGTTCTTTGGCCAGATGTTGCTGTTAGGTGTGGCTTTCTGGTTTATACTTATTAATGTCTGGGTGAGAAATCCAGGACACACAACCATCTGTTCTCCCAATCCCTACAATAATGTGGAATTTTCTCTGTTGACCATATGTTTTCTGTTGCTGTTGGAACAGTGAAATGAATTCAAGGCAATTGTGGTCACTTTTTCTGCATTGCAACTTTTAAGCATCATAACAGTGAACCTGAGAAAGCAGAGAACTGGGAAAATATTCATGGAAGGCTTAGAGGAAGAGAGATTCCTCCTTTCTTCTTCAGGGGAGGAGAGATTCCTCACAACCTGTCTTTTTACCTCACATTGTGGTTAAGTAGGTCTTCAGAATCCGCCAAGACCTCCTTGTGTGGTTGAGCTGGGAGGTGTTGGGAGGAGGACGTGTGGTGAGGAACTGTTCCGTTTGCTTTCAGGTGAGAGTTTGTGTGCCGGGCAGGAGCTGGGCTGGGGCGCAGTTGGGTTTGCTCTGCATGGTTCTTATTAAAATAAGAATGCATAGGATATCAGGGCAAAAACCTGGATATTGCTTCCGGATCGTTACGTAATTCCTGGTTATGTATGAGTTCACGACCTGTTGCAGCCTTACAAACAACCAAAGAAAACCCTTTGCTCTTCCCTTACAGTCTTCCCGGGCTCCCCGGAGCACTCCTGCCGTGCCCCACAAGGACACTGCCGCCTGCCCGCCAACCTGATGGCGTCCGCTACTGCTGTGCCTGTAGGATTCCACTATGAAACCAAGTACGTAGTGCTCAGCTACCTGGGGCTCTTAGCACAGGAAAAGCCGCAGGAGCATCCTCCTCCTCCTCCTCCTCCTCCTCCAGCTCAAGGTAACATTTGCATATTCATCTGTACCATTTACTTGTGCAGCTCTGCTTGCAATTAGTTCTTGGGCTGTCGGCAGAGTGTGAGCCTGATGTTTGGTGTGATGCATCTCTTGTTTTATTCCCTGAAAACTGAATGAATTTCAGTTGAAATAGAAGAGATGTCGATGGAAACAAAGCTGTTTGTATGTAGATGACTGTTTTAGTTTGAGCTACGTCAAGGCCAACTGGTGTTTATGAAGCAAGTAAGTGGTTTTAGTAGCTGCCTTCAGGCCAGGAGGGATGAATATATATTGTCTTCATTGAATTTGAGCCCATGCTTGCTTTTCTGGGGACACAAGTGGAAGTAAGCAGGGGTGAGGTGGTGTTTACCAGCTGAGTGATGGCTTGAGCAATCTCCTGTGCTAAATAGTTTTGCCCTATTACATTGAGGCTTCTGTTGTTGTCAGTCAGTGGTAGTGCTGAGCCGCGGCCTATGCTGCACCTATTTATTTATTTATTTATTTATAAGAAGTCAAGGACTGCATGGAGTCAGATGGTTCTTCCACAACAGGTTTATGCATAAAAGAGGTTAAATAAATAAATAGAAGGCAAAAGAAGTTTGGTAGCTTGTGTTTCACATAAACCGAGGGAGTGAAGCTTCTCTCTTTTTTGTGGTGGCAAACACTTAAACAATGTTGTTTATCAGGATTGCTTGGGTGACTTGCCACTTCTTAATGATGTTTCAGTCACTAGTAGTTCCTGTGATTCAGAACTTATTCTGATTAAAGGAGAATTAGAAATACCCAAACCAGACAAAGACAGTCTTTAAAATATTTTTTTTGAACAAGCGTTTAAGAATGCATACTGTGTCATTTACTGAACTTAACTGTCATGAAGTGAGGAATTCCTGGAAAGAAAAGATTGCATCAAAGTTATGACAGAAATGATTTTCAGTTTGGCACTAAAGCCTATAGCATATGCTGGTTGTATGATATATAATTTAATTCATAAAATTAGTCTTAGTATATTTAAGATATGTCTGCTACTTCCACTTTGATCTGTGGTCCATGAAAGGAGAGGCACCTTAGTGCTAAGATGCTGTTCATAAAACCCCTAGTTGAAAAAAGTGCTTATTTTAGCAATAATGTCTCATTCTGAATATCCCATCAAGTTATAACTGGGCTGTAACTGGAAATGTATTGAGTGCATATAAAGATTCAGTGTGTAAGAGTCTGCTTTGTTCTTATAAATGCAAGATTCAGAAAGGAAACTGTTAGTCTTAAAGCTTTTTAAAAACAATTTGGCTGTAGTTACCTTTGAAATATTTGCAAGCTGAGGGGAAACCCTTCAACTGATTCTCATTACTGAAACCTCTCAGCTTCTAATTTGAATTGAAGAGCAATATTAAAGCTTTCTAAAGAGGAAGCTACAAATGCTTAAATAAAAATTTTGTACTCAGGTAAGAGGACTTCAAAGCTCCTGAGTGCAGATAACTATTGAGTCTACATTTCAGATATTGTTTAGATATGTTAGCTTGTGTGACAGCAGGCTGCAGCTGGATTTGCTGTTAAAATACCCTAAATCATTGATACTTTACAAATCTGTTCTTTCATCCTTGTTGCTTTAAACCTTCTCTTTTAAACAGGAAGTCTTCCTACATTTTCCCACCTCATTCCCAATACCAGACAGTGCCCACAATGTCTCCTCCCCTGGTCATCTTTCACTGTAAATAGATCTCTCTTTCAGTATTTTTACTGCTTTCTGGTCAAAGCCTCTGGATAAAATAATTTCCCCTTACTTTTAATTTGCCATCTTGTTTCTCACTCTGTTTTTTAAAGCCTTAGATGGACTTCAGGCTTTGTTGAACTAAGTGCAAACACTTTATCCTTCTGCTTCAGGATTTGTTTCATTCTTTCCTAACTCTCTTTTCCTGGTGCTTTTCTGCTTTCCATGCACCTGACAGCTTTCATTTGTCTGACAGCTACTCTTTAAAAATCCTTTCTCCTGCTTCTTCCCTCCTCACTTGTAAACAAAGAGCGTTTCCCTGCGCTCTCAGGATATGTGTGGCAGCAGCCCTGTGGTTATTTAGAGGTGCTGTATCCATCTTCTCTGACTGCTGAGTAGTTTGTATACAGTCTGTATCTCCTTGTTGTCTGGCACGTGGCTGATGCCTCCTTGCTGTACTCTGCCCCATGTGCTCTATATTCTCCCCCAGGAGAGGAGTAATATCCATAATGGATATTTCCTGCCCTGCTAATGCACTGCTGGGACATAGATGGGTGTTACAGCATGGTCTGAGAACCTGATAAGAGCAAGAGAGATGTGAGAGCCGGTAAATGAAAATGGACAGTTGTTGTCTAAAATCCCGTCATGAGGAGGAAACTTCTGGGGTTTGGTAACTACGACATAGGAGGGCAATAACAGCTTGACACTGCATCGTGCTTGCCAGTGTGTTTTTCAAGCACCATTATCAGTCTGATGATCCCAAGTTCCTCCCATTGTTGATTTCTGTATCACTTCAAAACACTGGTTAGTTGTCTTTCTACTCTGTATGGTTGAATTGTGAATTGAGAGGATTTCAGTAAAAAGCACCTGTTGCTTAACCTTGTTTTGCTTTGATTTGGTTCCTGTGCTGTCAGACCTGTCATGGGAAAAAATGAAGCAGTGATTTGGGCTATTGCCTGTTTCCTTTTGAGGTGCAGAACACTTCTTTATTTTATGTTTCAATGAGACATTGACTCTGGTTTATGGTGCTTTCCTTTGTATATTCTTTTTAAATCCAAATGAGCCTTTACTCTTAGTCTGTTTTCTGAACCACATTACATTATAATGGGAGTATCCAGAAAGACTAGTTTTACTTTGCCCTCATAGTTTTAACCTCTTTGGTCTCCCTGAGTGTGGGAGAGTGAGGGACTCCTCTAGAGGGCAGTTCAATGCAGGATCCTGATTACAGCCTCCTTGTGTCACCTGCTGGAGGATCTTCTGCCTTTCCATTGCATGTGTACAGAACATGGGAAATAAGGAAATAAGGCACACTTAGTTTTAAGGTGTTGTTAGTATTTCTGTACTGCTTTTGAGTCTCCTTCTGTAGCAGTTTTCCAGATTTCAAGCAAAGTTTCAACAGTCCAGTTAAACCAAAGATTTTATCTGATGGGCCCAAAAACCCAACCAAAAAAGCAATCCTTCCCAACACGAGTTGGAAGTTTATCTCTTATCCTACCAGAACCGGTAGGAGGGATTAAATGCTTTTGTCCCTTCCCCTTCCTTTCCTCCTCCCATCACCTGCCACAAACCTCTGCTTTCCTGCATTCCTTACTAAAGAGTTCTTTTTCTGATGTATGACTTTTTGTTCCAAAAACTCAGCTAAGATTAAATCTTTAAGTTACTTGGTAGGTTTCAAGTTAAAACTTCTCATTTTTTGCAGACATAATATGTTTTGCAAGACTGATGGTTTTCAGAGGGTTTTTATTTAGTGAATGGAAAATTCAGACAAATTACACAGAAAATTACCTCCTGTGTTTCCCTTTGGATCTCTTGGTTGGTCTTGATTTTGTTGCAAGAAAGATGGCTTCAATTACAATCGCTGAAATCACTTTCAGCTTCAAGCAAATAAGGCCAATCTAAGTCAACACCTGATTAGTACTTCCAAATTTTTGTTTAGATCTCTTCTCTTCAATGCAGGGACTGAAGAGAGAACCATCTGTGGTATTCCAGACTCTTGAAGAAAAGATGGTTTTATTGGACAAACCAATCTTTTAGCATTACAGCTCTGTAGTTCTCTGCAGTGGATTTCAGTGCCTCCAGAGGAAAATCCAGCAAATTTAACTGGGAAATGTTTGAGAGATTTTTCCTATTAGTTTTGGCAGAATAGTGATTCTGCACAACAGCCACTTCAGTTTATTAAAAACAAAGTCCATTAGCAATAAATTCTGTTACTTTTTGGTAGGTTTTCAGGTAGGTGGATAGTACCAGTTGCTCAGATAAATTGATAAAACACACAGAGTAAGATCTCACCTGTGTAAGTTCATGTTGTTTGAGGCAACAAGTAAGTACATATATTTAAAATGTGTGGAAGCTCTCAGCTGTCTGTTCATTAGATTGTGGAGAGATGCTTTAGTATTTTTTCAGAACTTTTTGTCATACCTGTAACTACTGGTTCATACACAGAAAATAAATGTCAACTATTGGAAAACATCTCTACATTTTTCCCCCTGAAGTTACACTCATTACAGAAGCTTCCATCTGCTGAAATTGTTTGTAAATACTACTTGGTTTTTAAGTGAGTCAAAGTACTTTGTTTTTGTGATTCAGTGAATTTGTATTGTAAATACTTCTTTGTATTTCATAAAGGAGGGACTTTTAGCATATTCCTCTTTTTTAATGTACTTCCCCGTGTTTTGATACCATCCTAAGAGCCTGTGGCTATAACAGAAGTTATGAAGGAAAGTAGTTTTTCTGTGTTTTCCTTGACAGAATGAGAAATCTTGAATAATCCCTTAACTCACAGAGCATCTGGAAGATTGATAATCAGTGCCACTACTGCGTGTTGACATAGATTAGTCAAGAGGTGAACAAGGTTTTGACAGTTTTTCAGTTTCCCTGAGGTGCCTGCTATCCACAGTACTTCAATCCAATCATTATGTTCTTTTGACCATTTATTATCTGTTTTGGAATCACTATGAAGTGCTGTACATAGTTAGTGATCAAGCCATTTTTGTGGTTTCCCACACACGTCTTACAGCTGAGCAGTGTTGAACCAGGACTGGGAAAAATGTTTTTTTTAACTCATTCTCCGTCCCTGTAGGAAATGAAGATGTTTTTTAGGTGATTTTAGCTTAGATGATTAACTCATTTGTTTGAAGCTTTCCTCTTAAGGAAAACATGCCTGCTTTGGCTGAAAAAGTACACATTGTAGTCAGACCAGTTGAGTTCATGGTAATGAGGAAGCTATTCCCTGAACTGAGGTGAGGAAAGGGAGTTTTTGGGGTGTGAATTCCCTCCAGGAATATGAATTTCCATTTGACTAAGCCTCCTCTCTGCCTACAAAAAAACCAAAAGCAAACAAAACAAAAAACCAAAAAAACCCCACTAGTTGGCAATGTCTTCTCTCTTTTTGGTTCTTAATATTTTAGACTTTTTTAGGTTTTTTTGAGCTGAGCCTTTTCATTTAAGGATAAATGTGTTTGTAAGGAGATCTCTCCTTGTAGTTGCCAGTGTCCCTTGTTAGCTGCAGTATTTGGCACAAGCACTGTGGAGTCAGATGTGCAGACTCTCCAGCTCTGATGAATGACTTCCCATCCCTCCTCCTCCTGGGATCAAACCTGGGGAACGGGTTAGTCTTGTATTTTTACCAAACTTCTGGAATGGCCTTACCAGTGGAGTTTTACTGAAGTATTACATTTATTTAGTAGTCTGGTGGGCAGCGATGCGGCGCTTGATGGACTTCTAGAACACAGTTTCCTCTGCTTTTCATGTACCTCCAAATACCTGAAAGCCAAAATCTTAACAAGAGCATAGTTGTGCAAAAGGGAACATTTATTACATAAATAGAAAGTAGAACGCACTAACCTGGTTGTGTAAGTCTGTGTAACAGAGGTTTGTTGAGCCTCTGGGTTGGGAAGAGGCCTTGAAGGGTTGGTTTACCCAAAGCCCACAAGAGGCAAAGCCATTTCTTGACCACAGGAAAGCGCTCGGTGTTTGTGGCTCTTACAAGCCCCAGGGTGTGACCATTTGCATCATTAAATGATGAACGTAGGTTCTCATCTACTACAAACTGATTTTACTGTTTTATTCTACCTGTTTGCAAACAGACTTGGGATTTGTCTGAAGGAGAAAAAGATACCCCTCAATTAGGACCTTTGCTGTTGGAATGTGCTGTTCTCCAACACCTTGTGCAGTTTTTGTTGGTACTGGTCAACCTACAGGAGCTGCAGGAAGCTGAAGTCCATTCATAATTGAGGGAATAAACAGTGCAAAGTCACTGGTGTGGGAGGGGTAGGGGTTTGATATTTTGGCATGACTGAACAGTCAGATGCTCTCGGAATCAGCAGCTGCTGCAAAGTTGTGGGTGTTACGAGATGGAAACCATTGACTGCAGCGCTGATTATCTAAACAGCTCTTTTGTACCCAGGCAGCAATGGAATTTCTCTTCCTTCCACTTTCCGGGTGACTTCTTATCCAGTATGACAGCTTGTCATGTGCAATCATTGTCACATTAGTCCCGTGAGAACGGTGCTCTCCTGAACACCCTCGTCCCTTCCATGCAAAGGGGGAGCACAGGTTCAGGGAGGAGTTTGCACTTGCACTTACTTGTTGCACTTCACTCAAAGAGGTGACTGAAAGGGACTGACAAGGCATTAACCAAAAGGAGGAACAGTTTGCTCCTCTCTGGAATTTGTGGTTCAGAGTGACAAAGAGAGGCTGCTTGGGAAGGGATTTAAGAAGCTAAATAAAGTTATTCTGCACATGTGCGGTTAAGTAAAATGGAATTAAACTGACTATGCTTTGTTCTTTTAGACTGGTGACATAAATAAATGAAAACATTTTGCACTGACTTAAGCACACATTGGTTTAGAAAGGCTTTGTTTCACAGTTATCTATGAGCATTAACACACATTCAGTGGCTTGATTCTGTGGATTTTTAACTTATTTTTCAACTGCAGGAGACCTTGAAAGTCTCATTGCTCAGTGTTTTTTGAAATACAGAAAATGCACAGTGCACTTCACTTGTGTGTAGTTAACTGCACATCTGTGTGTGTTAACTGCTTTTATGGTTTTCACACACTCTGGTGCGAAAATTAGTGATGTGTCCATTGTGGAGGACAGGGGCAGGCAATTAGCAGGTAAAGAGAGTCCCAGATAGACCAAAGAAAACGGGCCATAAAACAGTCGTTCATAAGACCACCAAATTATGATTTAGTGTCTTCAAAACAGGAATGAAGAAAGATGTACCAGGATGCTACACTGGCTGTTAAAGGACTTACCTGAAGATTTGGATATGAAAGCTGAAGCAGTTGGTGTAGGTGAAGAAAGGGTGAGGGAGGTTGGATTGTCGGTATTTGGGTGAATGAGTAAGAGACAGTGGACACGGGGAACGTTATCAGAAGCTCAGCCTGGAGGTGGCATTTAAATCAGGGGTGTGAGAGAACATCAAGTCCCAAAGAAAAGAATTCTGAGGAACATTCAGAAGTAAGAGAGCTAAGAAAATGTGTTTTGGGTAACCCAGTCACTGATGCTGTTGAATGTAAGGGAGTGCAAGGCTAATGAGGACTGATAACTGACCCAAAACTTAGGGAAGGAAATGGCTGGAAGGGGGATTACTAAGCAAAGGGAAATTTTGTTGACAATTTTATTTGTTGATTTATTTGTTTCAGGAGTAATTTGATACAAAATTCACCTTGATATTCCTTTAGATATAAGAAAGACCCATTTTATCTCTTAAGAAGGACATTTTAAGGAATGTAAAGTAAGAAGAAAATTTCAGTGGGGGGCTGTTGGTTCAGTGAAGTTTGGTGAAAATAGGAGAGCAATTAATGGAATAGTTCTTGTGTGTGCCTTAAGAATGGGATTTGAAGATGTGCTTGAAAGCTGATGGAAGAAATAAAGATGAGCAAACCCAAAGAAAAAGCAGCTGGGTCTTTGCATTAGTACCCATCCCATAAAAGTTACTTGAGTAGTTATACCGCCTTATATTGGAAAGGCTGACATTCAGCAGACAGTTGTCTTAAATATCTTGCATTGTTTGGAGACAGTTTTGTGTGTCTATTTTGGTTCAGCATAATGATTAAGATGATTTAGATGGCTGAAACGACCTTTTGTGACCAAATATCAGCATATGGTATATGTATTCATAATCCCAATCCATGGCATGTGTACTTCTGGGGATATGCAGCCATTTCAGATTCCTAAATTTCTTGATCAGGAGACAAGAACTGTCAAATAACTGACAACTGTGGGGTCCTTTGCCCTTAGTCTTACTTGTGAACCCGGTTTTAAATTATTTCATTGTGACCTGTAGATCCTCTTGACCAGAGAAATGATGCACAGTTCACAGATTTCAGAACTGTTCATTGATGTCATTGCATATTTGCTCTGAGTATTTTGGTAGATTCTGCAGGCATCGACATAAATTTTTTATTTTGCTACTAAAAATCAAGCTTATGCCAGTCTGCTTTGTTTTGGTGTAGTTTAATGGTGACTGTATTCAGTTTAATGGCAGCTTGTTTGTGTGCCTTGGTTTGGGCTTGGTCTTAAATTTAAGATAAGCTGTTTTTTAAAGCTGTTATATATTCTGTTTGTAACCTTATAGTTCTATTTTTTCTTTTTAATATTTAAAGCACCTCTTCTGTCTTGAATAGGCCTGGAAGTTTATGTGTTTCTGGGTTCATGTAATAAGTCCCCTTATGGAATCATACTTGTCACTGTCTGAAACAGAACTGTCACTCTGAATTCCTTAATATTTAATATTTCAGTATCATATTCCATTGTCTACCTTGTTTGAAATATTGAATTGAAACATCTGAATGATTTCTCTGGTTTCTTCTAGAGGCTCAACAACAGCTTGTGGCCCAACATGCTTTGGAGAAAGAGGCTTTGGAGAAGATCAAAGTAGAAATCGAGGAGGAGCTAAAACGTCTCGATGAAGAAATCTTGGAAGGTGCTCTTCAGGTTTTCCCGTTTCAATCCATAATCTCTATGCACTGTAATGGTGGTTAATTTGTAACAGGTACTCCAGTTAAAGAGATTTTTGAATGCATTGAATCTCTTTACCCTCCTCCCCCCACAAGATTTCTACACATTGTCACGTGAAGTAAAATAGTTAAACGCCACCATTTGGAGTGGTGGAGCCCAGCCAAAGCAAACAACTGGATGACATTTAATAGGCTACTATAAATAATGAAAAGTAAACAGCCCTTAAGCTGCTGCAGCTGATGGCAGAAGTCCTCAGCAGCCAATATCCCAAGGAGTGTGGACTTAAACCATCAGATTTCTCACTTCCAGCAGGTTTATTTTTTGTGACATGCTTTGATGTGTAGATTTGGCTTTTATGGGATGCCCAGTGAGGGACGATTTGAAAACAGTCTTTACTTTGCATGTGTATGGCAAATTGGAAATCTGAAGTAGAAAGACTCTAAGTTCATTCATAGAGAGCTTTCTTAGAAGTTTTAAGCAGAGAAGGAAAAGGTTATGTGAACAAAATAATATTTTAAAAAATGATACTCTAGTACTGCTGCAGAGATGTCCATGTGTGGGCAAATTCTAGCACAGAAAAGAGGCTCCCTTGCTGCTCCATCAGGGTTGGCATCAGCTTAAAACTGAGAATAGCTGCACATTCAGCAAAGTTACTGGCTGGGATGCAGTTGTGAAATAAGAGCTGGAGGGGAAATGCAGCTCAAAGTCATCTCGGGCTCGTAAGTACCACTTTCAGAATGTATTTGGATGTTGTTTTATGATCATGTGTTTATGATTTGTTCATAATATGTGTTGACTACAGAGCTGCGATTTCTTCATCCCTCATGTAAACTGTGTTAACTGCTGGGATAAGAAATCTGAGACTGTTGATGTTCTTATAGGAATCTATTTAATTTTATTTTGTGTATTTGTTTGTCTCAGCATTTACCACTACAGGATTTGACTGCCACACTTCCCCAGTGTTCAGCCCTGCTAATCCAGAGAGCTCAATAGAAGACTGCCTGGCTCATTTGGGGGAGAAAGTGTCCCAGGAGTTGAAGGAACACCTGCACAAAGCACTACAGACCTTGCTTAGCAAGTGAGTTTCCATTTGGTTTTCCAAAGGGAAGGTGTTTCCTTTCGCACTGTGACTGCTGTTGAAATGCTGAAGATGGAACTTCATCTTGTATTGCATTTCTTTCTTTTTCAATGTTCCTTTACCTGGCTGGGAGGTTTTTTTGTGTTGTAATGTGCAAATACTTTGTGGTATTTGGCCTTTGCAGTAATGTAAATTCTAAAATCTTTCTAAGCTTATTTCATTGAACTTCTGAGGCTGCTTCAGGCAGTTTGGTTTGCTGGTGGAACTGGCAGCTGCCACTGCCATTGCCAATTAATTTCATGAATCTGGGCTGTAGCCAGATTAACTTCTTTTACCTTATAGTTAAGAGTGGAGCTGAGGGTTGGTTTGTAGTCTGGCTCCTGATGAGTGGGAGAGTTTGCCTCAAAGGATGGTGGTTAAATGCTTTGTGACCACCCTTCAGGTACACATCTGGAGCAGATGTGGGCCCCTGGGCTAACCTTGGTGCCTTAAGAGCTGTGCTGCCAATTTAAGCCTGTTGTTTAAATAGCACATTGTACTTGGCATGCTAGTATCTTGATTAATGTCTTTTGAAAATGGGTAAAATTGTTGTGGTTGCTTGGTTTTCTATTATAAATTACCAGCCTGAATTTAATGGATCCACATGAACTGCTTGAGGCTTTTCTGAGTGACCTCCAAAACGTGTTTATAGAGAGCTGGAGTTGGAAGGTGCTGCTTTAGGGATGGTTCCATAAATGCGGTTGTGAAGGCAACATTAGCAAACAGCTCTCTGGGCCTGTGTTTTGTGGATTGGTTAAAATAACGTGGCTCAAAAAGAGGCTGAGAATCTCCAGTGCTACTTTTTATAAGAGTTTGTGTAGCTGTTCATGAACTGTTGGAACAAAAAGGTACTGGAAGCCTAGAAATCAGCACCTGGTGTAAACTTTGTTGCATGGGGTGTAAGTCTTCCATATATACATTGAAGAGGCATCTCATGCCCTCATGAAGGTAATACCCTTCATGGCAGACTTCTGGAAGATACAAATTTGGAATTCATTCCATCTGCACAAAGGAAACACCCTTTTACTGAAGGTGACTGAGCACTGGCACAGGTTGCCCAGAGGGATTGTGGAGTCTCCATACTTGGAGATTCCCAAAAGCTGTCCTGGGCAGCGTGCACTAGGAGACCCTAATAGAGCAAGGAGGTTGGACAGGATGTTCTCCAGAGGTCTTTTCCCACATCAGCCATTCTGTGAGTCCTTAACTAGCCCATATATTCCTTAACTAGCTCCCTAGCTGACAAGTAGGGGTTGACTTTTTATGACCAATATAATTTAAAACTGACTGTTCAAAGTCAGGTAAGATGGGGCTTTGGGCAGCCTGATGTAGTGAAAGATGTCCCTGCCATTGATCTTTAGAGGTCCCTTCCAACCCAAACCATCCTGTGATTCCATGACCCTGATCTGGAGTTCACACCAAAGGTGCCATGTAACATCTGACCAGAGAGATGAAGATGATTGTCTCTTTTTCCATGAGTCATCCAGGGGAGAAGTGCACTCTGTCTTAAGTGGCAAAAGATAGGCCAGTGTGTTCCTCTAGAAATGGCAGCAGCTAATCTGCCTTTACAAGCCAGGCATTAGTCCCACATGGCCTTAAAAACTTGTACTTAACTGTCTTCTGAAGAGCTCAGGTTCTGAAAAATACCTCACTAACACACTAAAAAACCAGACTGGTAATGAGTTGGAAAATTAACAGGAAGTCTTGCAACCCATCCTTTTTCTGTGTCTAAAATGTTACATTGAAATAACAGCATTTTAAGTGTCTTAAAGGTTATTGATAGTTGGCTGACTGACTGACATTGAGGGGTCATAAGTGGTGCACTCTAGGTTGATTCTTTTTGGAAAGTTCCTGAAAGGAGGTCTTTGAAAATTAAGGGTTTCTAGCTTGTTGGTAACCTGATGTTCTAGGCTTCTTATGTTTTCTGTGGGAAAATGTTTGCATTCTAAGTAATTTTTTCTTTCTGTACGTGCAGACATACATATAAAGTCTGAAATGCCTGTGAAACTATGTGGCCTTTTTCTAAGGCAAAGTAGAGCTACTATTTAATCTCCCGAGAATATCCTTCCTGCAGCTGTTCTTGCTCTTCTCATCCCACTGATTGATCTGGATTTGTGTTGTAAAGAACTAACATACCAAGGAAGTTAAGAGAATGCACTTAAAATGACAAACCCAAATTATGTTTTCCCCACTGTGCTTTAACTCTGTTCTTTTACCCATGTTTGCTACAGTAGTGCTGTTTGATGCAATACATATTTATTTTGCTTGTATTTCCCTCCTCTCTTACATGCATATAAACAAGTATTAGGGTTCAGCAGGCTGTTAGATCATGACAGATTCAATAGGGAGTTTTCTTGTCCAATGCCAGTTAACACTATTTCTCTTAAACTAAAGTCTGAACTTGCCTTTCGGAATGATCTGGCTGCTTTTGAAGCAGTGCATCACTTGGCAGACAGCCTTTATTGTTACTGACTTTTTATCAGATGCTGTATGATCTTGGAGGAAAGAATATGGAAGAGTGGAATTTCATCATCCCGATTCAGAGAAGTTAGAGAGGTGATAAATCTAGATTAGAGGTATCTACTGAAATATGAAGGGTTTTTTTATGATCAGAAGTGCTGTTTCTTGCAAATAAAGGCTTCAACTCTAACGTAATGTTAATGCAGCCAAGCACTCTGTGTTGGTTCATAGCCCATATTGTTTATAAAATTTTTACTTTTCATTGACCTCTACCTCACATATGAGTTTTTTAGTAGAATTTTCTATCTTTAAAGTCTTAGATTATAAAAAAATTATATGCAAGAGCTTAGAAATTTTGTAGCATATCACAGAGCCTACTTATCTAAGGTCTTTTAAGTTGTAGAGTATCAAATTGTTATGAAATTCATTTAATCAGTTAAATGAAACTGTGTAACTGGGAGAAGGTGATGCCTTCCTGACCCTGTCTGGTGCTGGTGTTTTGTATCCTGAAACACAAGACTTGTTAGCTCTGGAAAATTATTTGCTGTGATGCATGTGAAAATATTTTGTTCTCTGGAAACTGAGAATTTTATTTTATTCTTGTTCTTTTGTTTCCTTTTATAACTTTCAGTGTTGGTTTAACTTCTGCAGGCCGGTGACATATCAAGAATATCGAGAACGCACACAAGAGGCAGCTGCTCATGCCAGTGGATGGAACAAGGTACCAGATAAATGACTTTAACTTGGATGTATCTCATATCTGTTTGATGTCCATAATGGTTTTATGAGGTACAGTTGTGCTTCACAGAGGGCCAGGAATAGAAAGAACCCACTTGGTTTTAGTGTGAAATAAATTGCACTCTCGGAACGTGCACATACTGAGTAGTTTTTAGATAATTTAGTCAGAAGTTATAGAATGTAAGTATTAGGTCAATCTTCCTCTATGATAGTAAAATGAAAAGTTAGAGATGTTGCTTGACTTTTTTTTTAATAATCACTAAACATTTTTAAATTCCCAAGAGACGTTTATTTCCATAGCAGTTTCGTAATGGAATCTGATACAGATGTTTTCATAATACTTCTCTACTGTTTTTCTGTTCCCATGTCAGGTTTAAAATACATGTAAAAAAGTGTGCTGAACATGGTGAAAATAAAAATTGACAGTATCTTCATGATATTTAAATTGTTCATAAAACATAAGCATAGTGTGCCTACCTGGAATCCAGAGTAGTTGCCTCAAACTTCCTTTTAAAGCAATATGCAAATCTGTAAATGAACTGAACCTTCTCTTTAAAACAAAATGCAAATCTGTAAATGAACAATCTTTATAATACTTTTAATGTAGAATGAGTAGAATTACTCTTCCCAGAGTCATCTTTCATTAATCATTCAAATTCATCTCCTTAATCATTCTCTGATAGGTTCAGTGGGCATCAGAAAAAGAATGAAATGAAATAACTATTTACAAATTTAATCACAATTTGAGCATTAAAATTTAGTCTTAAATTTAAAATAGAACAAGAAATCTTTTTCCCTCTTTGTTTTTTTTCCAGAAATACTTTTCCTTGACTAGATTTCCCTGCTTACTTCAGAAACTAACCAAGGGTGTGGGCACTTGTAAAGCAGTTTGTTTAAACATTGCATGACAAATTACTGCCCATGGCTCCAGCAATTATAATTGCTTTATGTGTGTGCTCTTTCAATTCGTCCTCTTGTGATTCACAGCATTTTAGTTTAAACAACCATGAAATCTGATTATCAAGAAGGTGGCTTAAGCTAGCACATTTTACTTTTCAGTTGGTGAAAACTAAAACCAAGCATAAAACCAGTCATTGTGGCTCAGCTGGCAAGGGAGGAGGTGGATGGGGCTTGTCAGTGCCCTGGTGCCTCTCAGTCTGCTTTTGGAACCCATCTCTTGAAGATCCAGCCCTGGGGAGATGATTCAGTCTCCATTGTGCTACATTTGTGCAGCCCCTGGGGGTGGTGGATTTTGGTCCCCGTCACCTCGTGGTTGCCATCAGCTTTGCTTCCCTGTAACATTTGTTGCTACAAAACTTTATAGTCCAGAAGCAAACCAGAATGGAAATTTTGTAGACTAGCACAGCATCTGTTGGTATTGTTTTCATGGTAGCTTGATGCTTCAGGAATGCCCAGCAGTTCCTTTAATAATCCTTGTTTTGAGGAGGTGGAATACATTTGTGTTGGTTTCATTTCCTTTTAAATTCCTTTATCATCTTAATCAGAATTGTATTTTGTAACAGAAGAGATCTAGATATCTTTCCTCCCATCTCAGCTCAGCTGAATTTTCACTGTAAAGAAGCTGTTAGAAAAATAATTTTAAGAAGCAGCTATAAATAGAGATAGTGTTAGGTCTAATTAGCAGGCACATAGCAGCAAAATGAGGCTGTGCTGGCCTCAAGTTTGTGAAAATCTGGAGGATGTATGTTTGGGAGAACTGAAGCTTCCTCCCTTTTATGACTGAATAATAAGAAAACACAACTAGCTGGCCTGGCAGAACAGAGTAACAAAGCACTCCCTGTATCCTGTAGTTTCTTGGGTGGAGCAGAAATTGAAGATGCACAGGAGCTGTGGCAGCAGCTGATGGTTTGAAATTGGGGAGGTGTCATGTTTAGTCATACCAGCTTCCAAAGAATATTCATCATACAAGTGTGAGCGGAAGGATGACACTTGGAAAATATAGCTGTTATTTTTTTCCCTTTAAAAATAGGGATATTTTCCAAAGTGCAATGGTATGTTTGAACTCCTGAACAGATTTGGTTAACTGACTGGCACATGGGATGTAAAGGGATGGTTGCAGTTACTAAAACATGAATACCCATCTGAATGAGGAAATATTGCAGGGTAAGCTAATACATGAGATCATCAGTTCTTCCACTGACATCCCACAGAAGTAAAGTTTATCCACAGACATTAGAAGTGCTGGTTCTCGGGGAAAATAAGCCAGGAAATTAATTTTTTCCATGTATTTCTCAGAAATTTTGATGTGAAAATAAGAGGCATCCTGTTGGATTCTGTAAAGAAAAAGTCTTCACTTTCTACTTGAAGTAAAGCTCTCATTAAAATAAAACAAAACCAAAGCCACCTAAAACAGGACAAATTATATTTCTGTAATATATATAATTTGAAAAATTGAAGTACTCCACTGCTGAGTTATTATGCTTTTTGCTTAAAACTGAATATTCTATACATGCTCCAAAATGCATAATCCCACTATTGTGCATCCTATGAAAGGATAACAAATACTGTTATTGAGAGCCAGTGGAACTGGTGAGTAGGTTAGCAGGCATCTCAGTGCCCCATTCTTGCTATTAACAGGGCCAAAGAATAATACAACAAAAATGTAAGAAATAATGAAGAATTAGGTGAATTTTATGTTGAAATAGTTGAAAGGTACACAGAGCTGCAATAATTTTGGATACAGCTTCTTGAAAGTTTCTGAACTTTCTTTGTAATAATTTTTTTTGCATTCATTTGAATTTGTAACACTGAACTGTGGGATTCAAATGGTATCATTGACACAAATCTTCCATTTACACAATGAGATACCTTCTGATAGTAAAGTGTTTTTTTTAATGATTCCCTAGAAGTTTTCTCCTGCCAGCTCTTTTCTGTGTAAGCTTTTCTTCAGTCATAATATAAATAGCCCTCAGCATTCCTTCCCAGGCATCCTGGTGGAGGGAGTTGCTGTTGCTTTGAATTGCAAACGCTGTATTTTTACTTCGGTCTAGTTAAACCTCATCACCATTCTCACAGCTACTCTTAAGTGCAGAAAGCTGTTGTTATCCTCTATGGAAGTACTGTGAAGGTAATTTCTTTCATGAATTTAGGGACAGTGTCATGCAAACCCGCTCCTGTTCCTCCGGGTCTCAAAGGTAGAAGTGTCAGTAATTTCAGGGGGAAAGGAAAACCAGGTGGTGTTTGTTGGTCTGTGTGGGACTGGTATCAGAGTTTGAGATTGGTCCCTCGGTCCTGAGGCTTGCACAGGTTTGCACATGTTTACTGAATTTGGGAGGAATGGATGGATTAGGTATTTAAGTTGGCAGAGGAAGAAGGCAAGTCATGTTCAGTATGCCAGCATTTAGCTCCCTTCATTTCCCAAGCAGCCTTTTTTTGCCTTTGTTTCTTTTGCCTTCAGCTTACAGTAAATGTCAAATATTTTGAGATCTCAGTGTTCATGCTCTTGTAGAGTTATGTGGGTGTGCCCAAAGCCTCTGAAAGATGCCTACCCTTGACAGCATGCTTTTATTTTGGATCCAAAAAGATTGAAGTTTCTTCTGACATCTCACCTTGACTGGCTCCTTACATTTGTGCACTGTGAGCTTGCACCTCTTCTGCCTCTGAGTTGAGATCAATTGCAAGAAACTCAAAAAACCCCCCAGACTTTTAAAATTCAAACACCATCTTGCTTTTAAGATTCAAGCACCATGACATTCCTAGTGATGTGTTGACAGTTACCAGCGTTTACTGTTCATCACAAAACAGTTCTGTAACCTGTCTGCCGTAGTATAGGACTCTCACATTTGTTACTCAGCTGGAACATCTGAAATGTATCAGGTAACAGGCATTTTTTAAGTCCTGTCTGGTTTCAGTAGTCCACCTCAGTGAGACACCATCATGAATTTAGTACTAATCTCAAACCCAGCCTTACTTTTCCTATTCGTCTTCCTCCAGCTTTTCATCCTAAGGTGTGATTTCAGGGATAGTAGTAGTAATGCAGGATATTTCGAGCAAAAAAAAACAGGCTGAAGGGGGAAGAGAGTGGAAAAGGCAGGAGGCATTAGGAGGTCAGTATGAGCAGTAGGAAATCCTGCATCTCCCTTGTGCAGCTGGGGAACAGCGTTCCTGTCTGCACAGTGAATGGATGTGCACTGCAGTTGTCACAAACGAGGGGTGGTAAAACTGACAAATATTTTTCTCACATCATAAAAATGCTTTTTCAGATGCTCGTGACTTCAGTTCATGCTGGTTTCCTGACCTTGGCGAAGCGCTGCGTATAAACTTTGCCCAGAGGGCCACTTGGGTGCTCTAGGAGAATAAATTTAGAGTTTAAAAGTTCAACTGCTTGTTGTTTAGGCAAACAAAAACATAATTTCAGAAGGAGGTGGCTAGAACTGTATAATATGAAGGAAGTGGGTTCACAGAGTCTTTCATCTTCCAGAGCAATTTGGGTTGAGGCTGAGCATTCAATTAAAGACAAAACGTTTCTAAAGAGGAATGGGAGTGGGAAATGAGGGAGCAAAATCTGTGTGTTAAATTCATCATAGTTTGACATGGAGAGGGCTTTATGTTTGTCATTCTAAACATGTCTGTAATGTTATGCTGCTGGGAGGAGGTGTTTGTTTCTGTCCCGTCTGAAGGTCAAGTGTGAACTTCTGAAGAGAAGTTCAGAGTATCTATTCAAGAATGTGTATGAGTTTGCTACTTAAATACAATTTGGATGCATGTCCCTTCAAGTTGTGTTGCATCTTTCCATTTCAGGGATAGAAGGTTCTGGACCTCTTTTGCTTTTCTACCTGAATCCTGTCTTGGGAAAAAAATGGGGCTTAAGAAAGCACTGCAGTCCTGTCCTGTGAAATTCTCTAGTTAAGCTGTGTTATTTTGCATATCAAACCGAGTGCTTCTTTTTTAGTGCCTTGTATTGCGTGTCTGCCTTGTGTCTTCACAGAAATGAAGTGTATTGAAATGTCAGAAATTAAGTCCCTGGTATCTTTGGACTTGTAGACTCAGACCTTTTCTGTGGACCATGTGAATTCTGTTCTAGCTACACAGTAGCATTGATTATGCTTTCTATATTTATTCACAATTCTTGTTTTTTGAAGGTCTTGGTGCCCCTGGTTCTGTTACAACAGTTTCTGATGGAGTTAACCAGACGGGGTCAGGAACCACTGAGTGCCCTTGTGAACTTCGGGGTGACATATCTAGAAGACTATTCTGCAGACTATATCATTCAACAGGGAGGATGGGTAAGAAGACCATGTTTCATTTTCATAGTTTGTTCAAAGCTTATTTCTAAATGTGATATGAGTCTGAACAGGAGTGAAAGCTAAGGGGTTGCTAGAAGTAAGCAGATGCAAGAGGGAATGACTCAGAAAAAGCAAAAAAATAGGAGGAGGTCAGGACCAGAAAGGGATCTCGGGCAGTCATCTATGTCACTTCTCTGCCCCAAGGCAGAACTGACTTTTACCCATTCATTTCTGATGTTGGCATTAAAGACCTGTGTGATTGGACTCCACAATTTCCCCAGGCAGTCTGTTCCAGTTCTTTGCATGCCTGGTTTGCTGGATTGCTGTTGCAACTGAAGAGGTCCTTAGGTGTCAGATAACAATTAGGTTTCATACACGGTGTGTAAAGGTGCTAATTTGTTGCTAATTTGTATGGTGAGCTTTTGATTGTATGTGCTTTCCTGTTAATATACATGCAGCACTGCATGTGGAAACAAACACCCCTAGCAAGAGATACTGTGCCCAAGAGGCTCTTCTTTTTAATAGTATCCCCTGGTGACTGCTGGGAATGGTATATGTTTTCTTTTCTCCTCTTAAATTTCAGAGTGGTTTTTTAGCAGATAAGTAATTGGAGAACACTTCATGCAGAAATGTCAGTAGGTACTAATTTATTTTTATAATAAGTGTTAAAATACCTCATGCGTATTAGACTTTATAGCTGTGTAGGAACATGCATAGAATGAGCAATCAGGATTTCTTTGTGCTTCAGTTTTCCTTGTAGAAATCTTTAATTCATGGTAACCAATGTTCCTGAGTCATGGCATGCTGAGAAGGTTTCATTTAAAAATACATCAGAGAGACAGCTCAGAGCCCAGGAGCTGGGTCTTGAAGGCTGAGCCTTAGATTACTGGGTTTGGGAAGGATGCCAGATTTGAATGGAATTAATCTGGGATTTGTGAAATGGCTCCAGCAAGTTGATTTATTCTAAAAAGAAAAGCTGTTCAGGAAAACCCAGTGATAAAAAAAGCACTAGTAGGAAAAATCTCATTCAGAAGCTTCTCACATTTCAAGAGTGTACCTGAGGTTTTTTTTTAAGACTAGTTCTTTCCAGAATTTCTGCACATCTGCACCTTCTTTATCTGTTCCCTTCCTGGCAGTGGTGGATGATAGTTTTCAAGGCCTTTGGGAGGGATTGTTTGTCTTTAATGGAGAGAAGCACTAACAGCACTGAGCCAAATGACCTCAGGTTGTTTGATAAATGCACTCACATTTCAAAGTATTTTCATCCCAGGGCAGGTCCTTACTTGCAGCTTTAAGAGAGATCAATGTTGGTGCTGTTTTGCTTTCCTGCCTCGTTTTTTAAGCCCAGAAAGGGCTGTGGTCTGTTCTCCAGCCTCTTTTAGAGGCCTGCTGTAAACACACTTAATACAGCGCAAAGCCTCTGAAAACAAGCAGCTTTCCAGCAGGAGGGGGCTGTGCTTTGTGTTTGTGTGACTGTGCATGTATGTACAGAGCCGGGCTGCGAGCCCGTCTGTGTCCGTCCAGCCAGGCATGAAATCACACTGACACGAGCGGTGCAGCAAACAAGCCAGAGCTATTTTTGAAACAGCACAAGAGGCGAGGAAAGAGACAAGGTGATGAAAATCCTTTCCAGATGAATTAATGTAGCTGCACTAACCTTTTGTGAGTTGCTCTGGGCATAGGGCTGGGGACCCACGGGGCTTGTGACTTTATGTGGAGGAAGGGGAATATGTGGTTTTACTGTATTTTTTTTTTCCCCCTAAGCAAAATGTTCATTTTTACCAAGCTGCGTGATTCTCAGTTTGTTCCAAGCCTGTGGGATGGTGGTTGGGGATGGCAGTGCTGGGAGCAGGGCGTGAGGCCGGGGTGGGAGAGGTTGTATTTCTGAGAAGGGCCGGGAAGAGCCGCTGCCATGGAAGTGTTTGCATTTTTTAAGATAAGCATCTGCCACGGGGGCTCTGTGTGCCGGATCAAGTTGTCAGTAATAATCTGCTAGAGCCATAAGGGCAGCGTAGAAACCTGGGAGTCTCCAGTGACTCATGTTGCCGTGACAGTAACAGGGTCAATTTTTGTGTTATTTTGGAGTGGGTGAAGATAGGTCTTTCCTGCAGCTGCTAAGAGCTTGCTTAAAACTGAGAAGATGCCAGAATAGCCTCTCTGGTTTTTTGTGGGCCAGGAGCAGAGGAGAACTTCACAGGAGTCAGCTTTTCAGGGGCAGACCTGAAAAACTCTGTGCTGTCTCTGGTCCTATCTCTTCTCTTGGCACCACATAATTTGGGATCTTCCTCAATTTTTGGATTGAAGTCAACCTTATCCAGGAGGGAAGTAGCCAGTCAAAGGTAAGGGGTCAGCTGAGCCTTTCCTGTGCCCCACTGTGGATCTGGGGAGTCAGAATTTTACAGAGCTGTGTCACGCACTTGCTGCATCCTGCTGTGCAGCCAGGATGCGGCTGGAAGAGCTCCCAGGGTTCTGCATGTGTGCAAGGCTTGAAGGTTCCTCTATGAGCTCAGGAGCCTTGTTGGTCTGGGAAAGCATCTGACTGAGGAAGGTGGGCAGTTAACTAGAAGCAAAATTGCTGGCTCAAGAGAGTTAAGATTTATAAATTGGATAGCTATGCAGCAAATTTCGAGAAGTCGATGTGGCTTGTAGGGAGTGGGAAATCTGAGATTTGAGAGGATGAGAAGTTGCGTTTTGATTTTTTTCATGCCAGTCCTGCAGAGATATGGTTACGAGATGATGCGTTGAAGCAATGAGTGTTCCCCTCCCGTTCTCCCTTCAGGCACTAAAATTGTGATTCAGCTAACTTTTGGTGGCAGGATGGGACTGGGATGTAATGGTGGGTTGGTTGGTGAGGGCATGACTGGCATATTTTTGTGTCTAAGTGCATAGGTATTTCAGTGCTGTGATTCTGGACATTGTGTATCCTGTTCCCTTTCCCCTGGCTCTCTTCTACTACTTCAGGGTGAAAGTCTTCCAAGTAGGAATGTCTGCAGTGCACTGCATATTGTGTTTGGGTGCAGCTGGCAACATAAACATGAATGAAGAGATGAAAGGACCACCTCATCTAGTTTACAATCTCTTAGATTTGCTGGTAGATGCAAATCGATTTTGGAGGACTGTAGGAAAGCAAGGAAAAGTTTCTTTCTTCTGGACAGCCTCCTTCTTTCACTCATTGCTGTGACGGGTTTGGCTGCAGCTCTTATATTTACCCTGCTTAACTCTTAAGTTTTAGTATGATCTCTCTTTCGGAGCAAAAGGTGTGCTGGGCATTCCAGGTTCTCTAAATAGGGGACACATTTCTTCCTCCTGACTAATGAGTCAAATGGTCACACTAAGATCTCCTTCCTTTATCATCTTGAACCATTGCAAAGCAATACCCAGCCTGATTTACAAGTAGCTTCGTTCTTCTCTTTCCCGAAAGCAATGTTAGGGCTCAACAAACTGACATGCAGTGTACATGCTCTCCCCTCCCTTTTTCTCCTCTCCCCTCCCTTTTTCTCCTCTCCC